CTCCAGATGTGGCCTCACCAGGGCTGAGTAGAGGGGTAGGATCACCTCCCTCAACCTGCTGGAGATGCTCTTCTTAGTGCACCCCAGGATCCCATTGGCCTTCTTGGCCACAAGAGCACACTGCTAAAAAAAAATCCAATTTTTTTTTCTCCTAAATATGCTTTTTTCAAAAGGATATGATACTATCTGATATAGACAAGAGTTAAACTAAACCAGAATAGTCATTAACAGTTTAGATCTTCTGATAAGGGACATTCCCAAAGGGTCACTGAGAGTGGCCATTCTTGATATCACCATAATGCTAATGCTACATTCGTTTTTCAAACAGCAGAAATACAAGTGAGAATCAGTGTTAAGACGTATTAAAAGAAATTAAAACAGAACTTTTTTTTTCTTTCAGCAAGCTTAAATATAGTGCTACACGTAGAATGATGGCAACTTCCAGACAGATTTATATAATCTATACTTTTAAAAATACATAATATTCAATAAGTAATAACAACTATTGAAATTTTAGTCTACTAAATAGATAAAGCTTACAGAGACTTTCAAACTAGAATACGTCAACATGTTTATCTAACTTTTCAAAGCTTCTCTTCCTCTCAGTACAGGTTCATCTACCTATTTTCAGTTAAACTAGTTCATCCTAGTAGGTCTTACAGATATGAGGCCTACTTTGAATATAAACAGGAAATCTAATTTTTTCCTTCAGAATTATTAATAGAAACTTGATACGTGAGGATCATGTCCACACTAATAAAGTCTTGAAGCACGTGGAAACAGGAAGGAATCAGATGAACCAGCTACAGGCAGTTGCTGCTTCAACAGTTCAAATGCAAAATGCACCCTCCTCGGAGTTATATGTAATCATGCACATTCAATACACACTCTAAAATGCCTAACTTCTGTGTTGAGTTTCTATTTCCCAAATAAACTGAAGAAAAGGCCAACTATTCATCCACTTTCTAATGTTCAGAGAGACAGTGAGCCTGAAACAGCTCCTGGCTCAGCCCACACGGGTGCAGGGGGGGCAACTGTGGAACATTCCCAGCTCCCACAGTGGGAATAGCAGTGCTTGGGCAATGTCTACATGGCACTATCCCATTTCATTTCAGCTGTGCAAATACTCCACTTCTCACATTTCTTAACTCTGCATGCTTCACTTCGTAAGCTTCACTTCTAGTCCAACCCTCCTGCTCCAGCAGGGACACCCAGAGCACGTGGCACAGGGTGGTGTCCAGGCGGCTTTGGAAGATCTCCAGGGAGGGAGATGCCACAGCCTCTCTGGGTAGCCTGTGCCAGGGCTCTGGCACCCTCACAGGAAAGAAGTTCTTCCTC